TAACAACATAACTGTAACATTAAGCACTCGTTTAGCACCCATTTTTTTCTCATTCTCATTCTCATTCTCATTTTTTTTCTCTTTTTTCATTTCAACCACACATTCTATCAATAAAATAATATCATATAAACCTAAAAATTCTCCTTACTTTTTAATCACACATTCTTCCATAAATTACTATTCAAAAACACATTTTTCCACAAAAATGGGTGTCAAACACCCCCTAAATAAAGATTAGGGATCAATAATACAATTAAAATTTGATGTATTTATAAGAAAATGTCGTGGGAATATAATTACCCAATAAATAATAGAAGCCGAAACCTTCGCGTCACTTGTCAGCTGATCGCGTTCACACTTGACCGGTTTACCGGTCAAAACTAAACGTATGAATGCGTAGACTCCTGTCTTCCAATGCATCCAGCCCGTTGTTTTGTTGTGTTCCGTACAATCCTGACCGGCCATATCCAGTCAGGATCAGGACAAAGAAAATGTCTGCCCCAAAACAAAACCTATTATTTGCAATTTGCACCGTCTTTCTACTCACATTTTCACACTCCAATCTTCATATATCTAAAATCCCTTTTTTATCTTCAGCTTCTCTCTCTAAAAGAGCACAAGATAAAGGGTGAGGTTACTTTTTTTTTCATGAGAAAGTTTTGGCTTTTTTCGTAGATATATAGATCGATGGAGAGTAAAAGAAGTGTAAAGGTGGAGGATTTGAACCCGTCATCTTCATCATTTTCGGATCATAATCTGGTGGGTGGTAATAATTCACACAGGGGTTTGGAGGATTACTCGGTTGATGGTGAAAATGGGTCATTAGGTTTCATGGAGTTACTAGGGGTTCAAGCTTTTGGCCCTTCAGTTCTTGATATGTTACCGGTACTCCCAAATCAGAACCGGACTTGTACAGTTGATCAAGACTCATCAGAGGTGGTGAATACACCTGCAACACCGATTCTTTCTTCTATTTCTTCAGAATCTAGTGGTGCTGGTGGACCAAATGATGAACAGACTAAAGAAGTGCTAGACGAAGTAGATGAAGAAGAAGAAGAACAGAAGCAGAAGACTAAGAAACAGTAAGTCATCAGTCTTTGTTTATTATTATGATCTATTTATGGAAAGATCAAAAATACATGTGGGGTGTTTTGAATATATAAATGCTCCTTTGACCTTTAGAATTTAGTGAAATTACTTATTTTAGAATATACTTATTTTGCTATATTGGGTTTCATCGGAACAGGTTGAAACCCAAGAACATGAGTCAGAAAAGGCAGAGAGAGCAAAGATTTGCTTTCATGACAAGGAGCGAAGTCGATCATCTGGAAGATGGCTACAGATGGAGGAAGTACGGCCAAAAAGCTGTAAAAAATAGCCCATTTCCTAGGTGAACTTTAAACTAAGAAATTAAGGCACTAATTAGTTCCACATCTTTATGTCCCATAATAGTTATTCATCTTAATAAAATATCCCAGTTAAGTTTTTTTCCTGGCAAGTACGTTATGATGATATTTGGTACACACTAAACAGTATAAATTTTGATGCTGGCGTTCAATTTCTTGACTGTTTTATGGTTTAAATTATCTCAGGAGCTACTATAGGTGCACTAATGCTTCGTGTAGTGTGAAGAAAAGAATAGAACGATGTTTGTATGATCCAACCATAGTCATGACTACATATGAAGGCCAACACACTCATCCAAGTCCGTTGATGTCTCGAGCAAACCCTGCGGCTGAACTGATGCCGCGCTCGAAATTCTCTACTGGTGAATCGGCCGCTATCTTTGTGCCATCGCCACTGCAAATGAGTTTATCATCAGCTGCAGCTGAATATCAAGTCCATTGCAACTACTCTACGCCATTGAATTTTGGTTTTATGGGTTCTACAAATATCAACAGTGCTGCAAGTGCACACCAGAAGCGCATTTGCACTCCACCTTCTGCTTTGATAACAGATTATGGGCTTCTTCAAGATATTGTGCCCTCCATTGTGAGAAAGGAAGAGTAAAATAATCACTCTTTTTTTTTTGTGTCTTGACTCATTAGTAGACATTGTAGATGAAACGAAGCCCCATCGTTGGATTGTGACGCTCTTAATCTCTGCTTGTTGTTTTACCTTTCCTTTTGTCCAAAAGAATTAGCATCATATATATACACACATAATTACAAACCCTAGTCATGGCTTCTTTTGGAGGTGTTAGTTTTAATTTCATCAAGACATACCTATTTTGTTTGAAGCTACAATGATGTCTCTAATGATGATCATCTTAGGCAAAGGGAGCTTAATTTAGGGTTATAAATTTTATTCTTGCGTTCTTCATTTCACCGTAGGCCAATTTTACGAAACAATGATTAGACATGCTATCGATATGCTCTTAGGTAAAACTGATCAAGGATAACACGTTCGTAAAATGAAGTAACGACGGCACCAAATGAAGATAACTAAAGGACGATTCAAATGGACTAGACATGTTTGCACATTCCTAAAGAGGATAGAATGACACGATCTCGGAGTGTTTGAGAGGGATTATTTGAAGTAAAAAATAATATTTTTTTAAAATGCGTGATTAAAAAATAGAAAAAAAATTACGAGTTCATGTGTAAAATTGTTAGAAATTAGAAATATTTCACGACCAAATATTTCTTTCGTTTATGCAAATGAATAACATAATATGTTTTGTACATCTAACTACTAAACGAATGGTTAGAAATTAAAAAAGATTTATATAACTAAATCCAAATTTATTGGTGAATAGATTTAGATAATTCGACTTCTTCCTGAAATTACTCTCATTTGTCCTCTTATCTACGTTTTCTTCCTGAAATTACTCTCATTTGTGTTCTTATCTTTGTTTTTTGGCATTGCAGGAATGTGCATTTATAATAAGATCATTTTCAATATGAGTTGAGATTTACCGTTCAATTTTTGTTATTCATCAATTAATTATTGACACATCATTTTACATTAAAATGTCAAATATTTTTAAGCATAAGAAGTAGTTAGGTTGCGTCTGATTGTCAATATTTTTCATGAAAAAATATATTTTTTCATTCAAATTCCTACTTTTGTACTGTTTATTTGATTTTTTTTTCCATTAAAAACATTTTCCTATTTTTAGTCACGTGAACATATTTTCTTCAAAATCAAGGAAAATATTTTTTTAGGGGAAGTAAGATTTTATTTTCAAGTGAATTCATTCTCTCTCTCTCTCTTTTATCCTCATCTCTCATCTATCCACCAATAAAAATGGACAAGTATAATATTTTTTAAATTGAAAATTAAATCAACCAAACTCATTTAATTAATAATTTTTATACAAATAAGTTCTAGGTAATTAAATTGTCTAAAATTTATTTTCTTTCCATATAAATTTCATACTCGCAATCAAACGTACTATTAGAAAAAAATTGAAAATATTAATTTAAAATAATGTGTTAATAATTAATTGGATGTGAACAGTAGCTCAACTCTTTTCGATACACTACACTATCAATTATATAGCCTTTAGGAGTTCTCCCCAGAGGCCTCTCTTTGTCTGTGAAGGCAGAACCACATTTCTGGTAATCAGAGAGGCGGTAATAAATTGACAAGCTTCCTATATGTGCATAGTGGTGGAGCAGAAAAGGACAATGTTACACTTCCATGATTAGTTCAGTTCACAGATAACCCTCGGTGAAAATTCATTGCAAGTTGGAGGGAGAAAAAAAAATGAATTAAGCTAAACGACCCGCGCCAGTTACCGCACGGATGACCGCACCGTCACAGCCCAGGTGCGGGTCCCACATGAATAAAATAATCCCGACCCCCCATGTGTGTGTTTGTGCGGTCACCGACGCGGTTATCCCCGCAGTTCCTGTAGCATGGCTCNAATAAAATAATCCCGACCCCCCATGTGTGTGTGTGCGGTCACCCGTGCAGTCATCGGTGTGGGCACTGTAGCATGGTTGAAAAAAAATATAAAAACAGTTTCAATGAGCACCTGTAAAAATTCAGTGAAGAAAAATTCTGTACACGACTTTTTCCAGCTGGAAATAATTGACTTGTCCCACCTTTCATCTTCCTAATTATTGTTCTTTCCATTACCTCGTTTTTTCCGAATAGCATGAATTGTACTCTAGTGGCTCCATACATTGAATCCTACAAGGATTTGAATGAGGGATGGAAAACGTGGTAATTATTAAGGAAGCGCGCCGAAAGAAAGAATATGCATATGCGTCCATCTTGAAATAGGGCTGGTTCAAGATTCTAAATAAAGTTTACATAAATCTGCCTTTTTCTTATTGGATTAGTGTCGAATCAGTTAGGGATGGCAAAAAAAACCGCCCCGCCCCGCCCCGACGGTGCCCCGCCCCGAATGGGGCGAAAAAAACCGCCCCGACGGGGTTGGCGGGGCGGGGCGGGGCGATATGGGGTGCCCCGGCGCGGGGCNCGCCGAAAGAAAGAATATGCATATGCGTCCATCTTGAAATAGGGCTGGTTCAAGATTCTAAATAAAGTTTACATAAATCTGCCTTTTTCTTATTGGATTAGTGTCGAATCAGTTCGAGATAGAGTTAGAACCTATTTATTTATTTCAAATTATTTAATGTCACGTCTTGATGAAAAAATATGAAGCGTGTACAATTTTATTATTAATTTTTAAATAAGTGACGATAAAACTTAAATTGAAATATATGCATCCATCTAGAAACATACAGTTGGACGTGCTTGATTCTTGATAAAGTTTGCAATCTGCCTTTCCCTATTTCGGATACATAATGCTGAAATTCTTTGTGCGGAGTAGAACATATTTATTTATTTTTTTAAAAATTATTTCTTTGAGTTTTTCATGGTGCAAGTCAAGTTATTTTTTTT